AAGGTCCTGTTAACAAATCAATTCATCGTCACTATTACTTCGATTTATTAAAAAATAAAATAAAATAAAAAAAGCCATCTAACTTTTCTATGTTCTGTACAAAGCAGTAATCAGAAGCCCTCTTGGTCTCTGAAACTTCTTTAAGTAACCAAGAGAAGAAGTTCTGGTTCTCCTGCCCTTGTCTCCCTTTTCTGAGAAATAGTTAGATAGAGCATCTTACATGTTGAGAGGATTAGAAATCAACTGACCAGATAAAAGTCTCCAGAGTCAAGGAGTCCAAAGGATAAACCTAAACATGCAGATGTCCTTGCTGTCCCCAAACCTGTCAAAACAAGAACCCAAGAGTGACATGGCCCTGACTTTGCCGAGGGAACAGCTCAGACAGATGTTCAGACAGATGTTTCTGGAGAGTCTCAGGGAAAGCCGTGCTGAGTGTAGGGACCAGGAAGCAGGCAAACCTCCTCCTTCACTCTCTCTCTTCCTCCATCCCCTCCCCTCCTTCTTCCTTCTCATACAACACCCAAGGCTGGAACAAACAGGGACACAACACATGTTCCACCCACACACAGCGGGGACCGTCTTGTTCTGTTAGATCCTTCCTTCCCACACCAGAAGCAGAAAATCACCGAGACTAGAGTTTCTACTCGCTGCCACCCATCGTATAAATTTCCCATTCCACTCTACATGCTTGGGAGGAATAAAAACGCATCTGAGATGACAACATCATCTCAGGCCTCATCACCAGTCACAGAAGCAGAGACCTCAGAGCTTTACTAGCACATTCTGAGACATGGAGATGTTATACAAGGTATGACCCTGGCAGGAAGAAAAAAAAAGAGTCCTATCTATTTTATAGGTGCGAGTGAATCACTGGCTGAAAATTACCAAAGAAAGTGTGGGGAACTGAGCCTGGGGATACAGTTCATATCTTGATAAAGGATCTTCACTTCCTGATAAATGTTCTTCACTTACTTCCTGTTTTCTCATTCTTGGTATTAGTAGAAAAGGATTGGGATTGTCACAAGCTGCTCTCTCAGATCCACCACCCACGTAGCCAATTTCACAGAAATGAATGGAAGCAAACTCATCCCCTTCTCCTCTTCTCCAGGTTTGGTCCTTGTTAGCCTCAGACAAACCGGGGGGGGGGGGGGGGGTGGGGAATGGGGGCTGGAGGAGGGGAGAGAAGGGCGACACTCAGCACAGATTTAGATTTCTCCATCATTGCCTTCTCACAGGCAGGGCACAGCACAAAACCAGAAGCAGATGTGGGAAGCCAGATGTGGAACCAGCTCAGGGGTGGAAGCCCTTATGGCCCGAGTGTTTGACAAGGTCAGCAGTGTAACTTGTGAGAGCTGCAGGGAATGAAGATGAGATCAGGTGCAGAACTAAGCAGACTGAGAGGAAAGAGAAGGGGCTTGTCATATACTCGCTTCTCTGTCATCCAGCAAGATACTGAAACATTTCTTCAGGGTTGAGAAATCCCCTTGTGAAGACTGTGTGTGCATGCATGTGTGTATGCCCGTGTATTTGTTTCCATGTGTGATAGTGTGTGTGTGTGTGTGTGTGTGTGTGTGTGTGTGTGTGTGTGTGTACATATGTGTTATCTGCTCTAGTCAGAGAGGCAGGACAGCAAGAGCCAAAGAAGAAGCCTGTGAGCCTGATGAAATAAATCAATATCTCAGCCTCCTCTGGCAACCACATGAACAAATGTAGTCTGAAAAATATGATTAAAACCCATAGCCCCCAGACATTGTAGGTTCGTGTTGGCAAAAGTTATTATAGGACTAATTCCATTGTGCTATTGAAAATGCCGGAGGCTTGGTATAGATATGGCAAGTGCAGCTATCGGGGAAAACAAAAGCAGGCTTCCTCTTGGCTTTGATTTACTCTGGTCACAATTCTTTCTTCCTTTGTTAAATCACTGAGTTTCGCCCAGAATGCTCAACATGATAAAGGAGACAAATAGCCTGTGTCATCTCTCTACTCGGGGTTTCTATGAGATAGGCACACGGCCTAATGGGTGCTATTGGACAAAGGACATCTTAAATTCTAAACTACCTCTGCAGCAGAATTGCCTAGAGAGCTTTTAAAAACTACAGGTGCCTGCTCTTCACCCCAGATAGCCCGGTTCAATTCATCAAGGTGGATTAAGGCATTCATATTTACTCAATCTAAGTCCATTCATTCAATAGCCATTCAACAGGGACTTAGTAAGAACCTATTATCAGTCAAGATTCTCAGCATATAGCAGTGAATAAAAGAGAAATGGGGCTGGAGAAACAGTTCCTCGCTTAAGAGCACTTGCTGAATAATCAAGAAGACTATAGGTCAGATCTCAGTGCCCACATTACCAGTCATGAGCCTTGCACAATCCTATAACCCCAGCTCAGAGGGGACAGAGACAGGAGGACCCCTGCGACTTACTGGCCTCCAGCATACCTGAGAAAATGTGAGGTCAATGTTCAGGGAGAGACCCTGCCCCAAAGGAAAAGGGAGAGGGTAGAGACAAGGATGCAAGACTCCTTCTTCTGGCCACTGCATGCTTACCCAGGCACAGGCAAGGAGCCAAAACTGTGAGTAAAAATTAAATGCTTTTTAAAAACAGAACCAATAATGTCCACCTTAATGGAGTTGACATACAGGAAGCCCACAAATAGTAAGAATAGCATGTCAGGAGCAGTAAGTAACGATGGAAAGATAAGCAGGAGAGAGGCCTAAAAGGGACAGAATCTTAAATAGCCTAGCTGGAAAACTGAAATCATAGAACAGAATTAAAAGAAGTAAGGCACTTAGAGACTGAAGGAAATGCAATGGAAAGGGCTTATGTAAAGATCGTGGGGTAGGAATATGGTCAGCCTGTGGTTGAGGAACAATACAGAAGGCAGTAGGGCTGACATGAATGACATCAGAAGAGAGCTAGAGATAAAGACAGAGTCAATACACAAGACTTTAGCTTTTGCCTTGGGGGGACTTAAGCAGTAGAATGATCTAATTTGAACTTTGTGGTATCACCCTGTCTACTTCAATAGAAACAGACTGAAGGAACATTGAAGGGAAATAAATAGGCCCCTCAGAAGTCTGTTGGGAATCTTAGGCTCTTAGGCATCTTAAGCTCAGGATGGCAACCAGAGATAGGGAACATAGATCCTGGTCATATTCTTAAAGAAGAATGGGCAGCATTTGTTGATGGACTAAACTGTGGGTGCCAGAGGAAGCAGGGGTCAAAGGTGCCTTCCCCACTCAGAACCACAGAAACAAATGAATTGCCTCTCTGAAGGCAGGAAAGACCATAGGGGAAATACTAAGAGCCCTGTTTCAGATGTGTTACCTTGAGTTACCTATTGAAGGAAATGTAAAACAGGAAGTAGGGACAGAGCTCAGAAACATGTCTATGCTGGAAATACAAATTTGGCTTCATGATGTACATTAAGTCATGAGTGTGGGTGTCATAGCTAGAGAAGGATTCAGTATCTGGGAAGGGCCTGCTTCCTGCTACATAAATGGATCTTTCTGTCTGTCTTCTCCTGGTGAGGGAGCAGGAATTTCTGTTCAAAGACCACAAACCCTATTCACTTGCCCTCATACCACAGTCAGTCCCAAGGGCCCCACTCCTCCTACTAGGAATGAGGATCATAATCTAGGAGTTTGAGGGAATGTAACTATCAAAGTCACTGCCAGTGAGTGGAGGAGGTCAGGAAGTCACAGTCAGGATGCAGAGCCCAGTGGTCTGGTTTCCAGGCCAGTTATTGTGCTTGGTACCCATGAGCTCCTCAGGTCTGCTTCTTTAGCATGGACTCTGCCCACTACTCTCTGGAGCCCCCCTAACTCTGCTTCGACCATCTGCTATGAAATGCAGCTGACAACAAACAGAATGTCTCTGACAGAGTGTTGCATAGAATCTCCATCAATAGAGAAGATCAAAGCCCACAGTGGCTGCGCACAGAATCAAAGTGGCCCTCGTCTGTCTTTCTAAACTCTAAAAACTGTCAGGAATTTTCATGGAAATTAGGAAAGAGATCCTGCCCCCAGTCTGTGCCAACTCCTTCTGTTTGTTTCAGCGGAAGCTGTTGGCCCACACTATGTCAGGAGATTCACATCAACAAATCCACTCAGAAGAAAAGAGCAACCTCAGTGCACGGAGGTCAGGAGAAGTTGCCAAAAGTGTGCTGCTCTTTGCAAATAGATTTCTAGGGCACAGGTCTGAGACAGTACCAAAAGAGAGTGAGTCAGGGACAAAGTGCACTGCATATAAATTTTAACTGTAGGTCAACTCTGAAGATGGGCAAACAGAGAAGACATTCATTACTATATGCTCATTACCTTTTATCTCCCTTAATAAGAATAAGACTACATTGTATTTATTAGGTGCCAGACACTGGCCTTCGCAATAATTTTTCACATTCAGATTAGCATATCTACTTAAGTTATGGGGCATTTATGATAGTTTATCTATTTTTGAATCTATTTCTTTTGGTTTTTGAGAGTATAATTGCTTCATGCCTCCCTTCCCTCTCTTCCCTCCAAACCCTTTCATGTGATCCTCCCTTGCTCCCTTTAAAATTCATGCCATTTTCCATTAATTGTTATATACATATATGTATCTGCATATATATACTACATATATATTCCTAAATACAGCCCGCTCAGTCTATATAATGGTCCTTATATGTATATGTTTTTAGTGCTGACTTGGATAACCAACCAGTTGCAGTGCTCTTCCCTGGAGAAGACTATTTCTCCCATTCTCAGCATTCCTTAGTAGCCTCTAGTTCTTTGTGTAAGGCTAAGACCCTGTGGGCTTTTCCCCATCGGCTTTAGCATGTCTGTTGTCAATGTATTTGTCAGGGAACCAATTGGGGGGCTTATCCTTAAAAGTGCCTCACCATTTAAAAAAAAAAAAAGCAGGTTCAAAGGCCACATTTCTGTAGATAAGCTAAGGGTATGGAGCTAGCCAGAGGGCCAGAGGCAGGGGAATGTGGGAAGGGGAAGAAGGGACTTACCCAGGAAAGGCAGGTCTTGGACAGAGAGGGTTTCACAGGCTGTACATCTAAGCTACGCTTCTGGGTACACCTATGGTGGGGGTGAGGGAGGGCATAGAAAAGGGAGAAGTAACTTAACCAACAGGGGAGGCTTGAGGACAAAAAGGGTTCACGGACATGTGTCTAGCAGAAGGTTTTAAAAATATATACATAGATAAAAAGAAGTTCAATGGACATACTCTAAAACAGAGGACAATGACCCTACTAGACAGCACAGGCTAGAAATCAAAGATCCCAGTACCAGGAGTGAACTACCTCTTTAGGACTGTCGGCCAGTGAGACCCGATAGGCTCCCAACATCACAGGCTATTGCCCTTGCTCTTGGATAGTTCTTGGAGTCTTACTATAAAAGACTCTGTTGCTGAAGGTACCACATACTCGAGTCATAGAACATGAAGGTTTCAAACTGACACTAAAAACTTCATCCCTATTGGCTAGCTTTCATAGTGCTGGAGGGTTCTATTCACACTACCAAAGGAAAAAAATATTAATCAGTCTTACCTAGCTGTGAACCCTGAAAGCTACAATAACAACTAGCCTGGCAGGATATGCCCATTGGTGCCATAGTGGCACAGATGTTGTGGGAGTAACCAAATGCTTTATGATTGGCTTTAAGGCCCACTCCAGAAGATGAACCCACTCCTAGAACCCTTATAGGAGCCATGTACCTGTGACTAGATAGATCTTAGACCCCAGGGGAGAATCTAATACAATCATTGTACTAAATAGACAGTCTTAGTCCTACTCCTAATGACTTATTGCTATGCTCATAGATTAGTGCATCTCTCAGCCCTCATCAGAGAAGCTTCTATTTGCAGTAGGTGGAAGTTAGCCCAGAGACCCACAATCGGTCAAAAAGCAGTGAGTAAGAGACTGTGGCATGCTCGTCCTAAATGGGACATTTGTATCTCCCCCTTCCTCGGAACAATCAGGGATCATTGTGGAAGAGGAGGTAGAAAGATTGTAAGAGTCAAAGGTGGTGGATAACTACAATGAAACAGTGTTTTCCAGGCATAGCAGAGCAGTTGTACATATGAACTCCCTAAAATTGTAACAGCATGTACCAGACCTAGACCAATTCAAGCCAAATGAAATCCCAGCATGAGGGTAGAGGTTGGCACAAAGCCACACCCCTAGCTGAGGAGCTATTGGCAATTGATAGCTTCTAGGAAATAAGAGTTAATTTTGATTAAGGGTGTGGAGCAGGTCAACCATGCTCCATTGGATGGCTATATATGCAAGCATTTTGGAGGGGCACATTGCACTCAATGGGTTTTTTAAATAAGAAGAGGACATAAAGTTGGCTGGGTTGGGAGATGGGAATGTGTCTGTGAGGAGCTGGGGAGGTGAATATAATCAAAATACATTGTATGAAATTCACAAATAATAAAAAATATTGTTTCAAAAAATCTACCCCCCTCCAAGTCTACTTGTCATTTTTAGGTATAAATAGTTCTGATTTATTCTGAATAAATTTGAACTGGAGACCAGCGAGATGGCTCAGTATGTAAAAGTACCTTCTGCAAGCCTGATGACTTGAGTTCAATTTCTAGAACAAGATAGAAGAAATGATCCAATTCCCATAGTTATGTGGTTTTCACAGGAGCACCATGGTACAGTAAACACAATATAAATAATGATTGTGAACTATGTATTATTGTTAACTATGATTACCACGCCATGTAGTAGATCTCAAAAACTTGCACATATTGTCTCACTGAAACTTTCCTCTTTGTACCAGCATCTCCTCTCTATCCCCCTTCCATTCCCAGCCTCTGAGCATCTCCTCACTCCTCTCTACTTCTATCAACTTGATATATTTTAGATCTCATGTAAATGAGCTCTCTCCATGCTTGTGGCTCTGATCCTGGCTCGTAAATTATTATAACAATATTTTCTAGGTTCTTCCATGGTTATAGTTTGCGAATGTCCCCTAAAAGTCTGTGTGTTGGAAATCTGGCTCCCAGGGTATCATAACTGGGGACTGTTGGGATTCATGATAGAAGAGGTCTAAAGGAAACTCTTAGCTCACTGGGGTGTGCTGTCAGGAAAGATCACAGGACCCCAGTCTTTCCTTTCTCTTCTGTTTTCTTGGCATGATGTGAGCAGTTTACCTCACCCTGCACTTCATAGCATTGGCATACAGTACACCCAACAAGAGCACCAAAGAAATGGATATGCCCCATCTTCGATGGGACCCTCTAAAGCTATAAACAAGAACAACATTTTCTCACTAGGCGATGGTGATGCATGCCTTTAATCCTAGAACTTGGGAGGCAGAGGCAGGCAGATCTCTGTGAGTTATAGGCCAGCCTGGTCTACAGAGCAAGCTCCGGAACACCCAGGGCTACACAGAGAAACTCTATCTCAGGAAAATAACAACAGCAACAACCTTTTCTCACTACAAACGATCATCTAGGTTATTTTGTTATAGTCAAAGAACTACCACATCCACATTGCTAAAAACTTCAAAATTTCTTCATGTTGTCCCACCATGTATCTCTAGCACATTTTTTAACCTATTTACCCACTGATGGATTCTCAGGTTCACTGAATATGGCCATTGCGACTAATGCTACAATGAACTGGGAAGTGAAACTATCTCTTTAGCATGCTGCTTTTCTCTCTTTTGCATATATATATATATATATATATATATATATATATATATATATATATATATATCCACTGATGGGAATGCTTTAGATTTTGAGTCATGCTCCTGACCTTTCCATAATGCCTGTATTCATTCTTATTCCCTACGACAACATACAGATTTCATTTTCTCTGCATCCTTACCAACTCTTGTTATCTTTTGTCTTTTTTAATAGAATCTCATTGTGGCTGTGGTTTTGTACCTCCCAGGTGAGAAGCATTTCCTCCTGTACCCATTAGCCATTTGTGTGTCTTCCTTCTGAAATGGCTTTTGCAGCATCTTCACACTTTTTAAGTGCTTGTTTATTTTCATGTATTGCCACATCAAGGGCATATCAAGGTTATAAGGCTTGGCACATTTACCAGAGCAAGATTATCCTGCGTTCTGCATCCTGATGAGCTGTTACATGCCACGCAATAAGTGGAGAAGTGATTCATTTGAAAAGTAGCAGGAGGTGAGTCACACTGACTACCTCTCATTTCTCAGACAAACGAAAATAAATACATGGTGGATTCATCCACAGGCAGAACACCTCAGCAGGTATTAGCCACACAACTTCTATGCCCTTAAACTTTGGAGGATTCAGTAGGACCCTGGGTGACCAGACTGCCTATGCAGGAGACTGAAGACAATTGTCACCTCCATAGAGCGACCGGTTGGGAGTGAACACGGTGGGACTCCACTGTGTGCTTCACGCTCAAGGCCTTTCTTCCCTTTTAACGCCACTCATAATGCATTGACTGTCATTCTATTTAAATTAATATTCATGTTTTCCCTTTAAATACCTTCCAGAGAATGCTACTGGTCTGTGAATGTCGGTGGGAAACAGTGGAATAGCACCAACCTGCCACTTAAAAGGCCTGAAATAGTTTTCTTTTGTACCCCAGGTGTTACTCCTCAAGAACCACGCACCAGTTTTTATGGCCCAGGGTTTCTCACTGACCTGGAACACACGAAATGGGCTAGACTGACTGGCCAGTAAGCTAACCGCTGTTTCTACATCCCATGCCTGCATTATAAGGCCACATCTCCACTCCCAACTGTTTTTTAACATAGGTTCAGGGGATTTAACTGGTGGCTCCGAGACTTGAACTCGGTTCCTCATACTTGCATACAAAGCACTTTACTGATCGAGCTGTCTCCCCAGCCGGGAGTGCTAGTTTTTAAGCTGTGAAGATTTAAGTCATCCAATGAGATGTCGGTATACAATAAATATAACTGTAGGAATTAGATGCCAA